ACGGGGTTTCACCATGTTGACCAGGATGGTCTCGATCTCTTGACCTTGTGATCCACCCGCCTCGGCCTCCCAAAGTGCTGGGATTACAGGCTTGAGCCACCGCGCCCGGCCTATTTATCTTTTTTCTTTAAAAAGATGGTAAAAAATTATAATGACTATAGTAATAATTACTCCTATACAGTAAAAATAGTTGCATTCTCTAAGACAACCATGATTAGCCATTCCTTTTCTTCCCCTTTCTTCTCCTTTCCTTTCCTTCTTCTCTCCCCTTCCCCCATCTCTTCTCCTCCCTTCCTCTCTTTTCCCCTCTTCTTTTTTGAGACAGAATCTGGCTCTGTTGCCCAGGCTGGAGAGCAGTAGTATGACCACAACTCACTGCAACCTTCGCCTCCCAGGCTCAAGCCATCCTTCTATCTCAGCCTCCCAGAAGTAGCTGGGACCACAGGCGCATGCCATCACACTGAGCTACTTTTTATATTTTCTGTAGAGATGGGCTTTTGTCACGTTGCCCAGGCTAGTCTCAAACTCCTCAAACCTGACCTATTTCAGTTTTTTAAGTATTCATTTTTATGAGTTTGGGAATTAGGACATTAGTTCTTTTTCCGTGAGAGATTGGTAATATTTTATTTCCCAGTTTTAGATTTGACTTGGTTTTATGATATAAAAAAAAAAAAATCATTGAAAATTTTTTTCCCTGTGCAGAAGTTTTACATGGCCAAACATGTTAGTTTTTCCTCTGTTGCTTCTAAATTTTGTGTTGTGTTTAGAAATTCCCTTCCCATTCTAAGATAAAGACATTTAGTCATGCTTTCTACTAAAACTATTTGTTTTGGCCATGTTGATCTTATGTTTACTTTTATAGAGGGAATGAGGGATGGATGGAATAATTTTTTTTCTATATGACTTGTCAGTTGTGCCAACGTTATTCACTCTAGTAACATTTTTTTTTTAAAACGGAGTCTCGCTCTGTTTCCTAGGCTGGAAGTTCAGTGGTGTGATTTTGGCTCAGTGTCACTTTCACCTCCTGGGATCAAGCAGTTCTCCTGCCTCTCCTCAGTAGCTGGGATTACAGACTTGTGCTATTATGCCCGGCTAATTTTTGTGTTTTTAATAGAGATGGGGTTTCACCATGTTGGTCAGGCTGGTCTGGAACTCTTGACCTCGTGATCCACCCGCCCCTGCCTCCCATAGTGCTGCAATTACAGGCGTGAGCCAATGTGCGGGGCCACTCAAGTAACTTTTTTGCCAAAAAAAGTTTTTTTAGTGATGGAGTCTTGCTCTGTTTCCCAGGATGACTTAACCTGCTGGATTCAAGGATCCTCTTGCCTTAGCCTCCCAAAGTGCTGGGACTAGAGGCACATACTACCACACCTATCTGAAAATTCAAATTTTGAGTCAAATTCTTGCAACATTCCTTTCTCTCTTCTTTCTTTTCTCTCCTTCCCTCCTTCTCTCCCTCCCTCCCTTCCTCCCTCCTTTCTTCCCTCCATCCCTTCTTCCCTCTCTCTTTTTCTTTCTCTTTCTCCCTTTCTCCCTTCCTCTCTTCCTCCCTTCCTTCCTTTTCTCTCTCTCTCTCTCTTTCCTT